GAAGCGAGGCCAGGGTTTAGGGTTTATGGGCGTAGATTGGGAACCTAAACTAAAATCCGAAAGAAGTGAAGCGATGGCATGGTCGGCATGATGTACATCAGACAGCAGCATCTGAATACGATGACATGTGTGGGCTTGCAAGATATTGCAAGCACTGAAATTGATCTCTGACACTTGCTGCCGTGCTGCCCTTTCTGATGTTACCAAAGAACACGGACCTGTGTGAATGCTCATGTATGAGTCGTACGGATTATGCGCTTGACGAGAACATGCGGCAGATTTTGTGTCGAATCTGTTGAATAAAGTCCTGCTAACAGTTGGTGCCTGCTAACACTTGGTGCAGATGCCTTGGCGGTAGTGCAGCTGCGAAACAGAAAGCTTGCTCTGTGAGCTGTGCACCAACCTTGTCGGCGGAAGAAAGCTCGAAAAGAGATGATGCTTGTGTGGCGATGTGTGATGCACATGAACCAGCCTTCCACCGACAGGTCCTTTGATTCACCACGGCCGTTTCTCTCGGCGCTGTTGGTTTTGAGCTGTGCCAGATTTTGGGACCCAGCGTGGTAATCAATGCTCAGGGACGGAACTTCGGCGAAAGCTTGCTGCTCCGTCTTCGACAAGGAATCATATTCGTCGCCATCGGTGCCCTGCAGCGCTAAGCTTGCAGTCTCATGTTCCCCGGAATTGGGCAGCGTTGATGATGAATCGCGGGAAAGCATTCCACTTCAAAACGGCTTCTACGAAGTCGACGATTCTCGTTTCACAATCTCTAAGCTTGAATTTGTCCTTATCAAAATCAGGAACAACACTTCAACTGGAGCAGACCAGATCCTAGGCGAACTCTTCAAGTGGTTGGATGTGAAAAGCCTGGTACTAGATGCGGCGAACGTCTGTTTATCAAAAGGAGAATAGACCATCACCTTGCCAGGCAATTGTGGTTTCGATTTACAAAAAGGGAGATGCATCTAAGCTTGAAAACTACAGACCCTTGTTTTTATTTGGTTCACGTTACAAAATCGTCGCAGCATTGGTTAAAGAAAGATTGGACAAGGAATGGAGACAAACAAGCGGGTCTCACGCAATTTTCTTGGCGCAAATCACAAGATATTTCGGAGAGAAGTCAAGAACTGCCAGTGATCTCATTCTGTGGACTGCAGAAGGCACTTTAATCAGTCGCAACAGAGAATACTTGAAGTGTTGCGTCGATTGCAAGTACCAGACAAACTTTGCACGCTAATCAAAGATTTCTATGCTAACATTCAATTAGTTGAAAGTATGCTGCGGTATCAATGAGCTTGAATGGAATTTTCCATATTCTGGCAAAAGGGAGGGATGTCCTCTTTCACCGTACTCGTTTGTGCTAGTTATGGGAGCTCTGTTCGCAGACATTAAAGTGGAACTGGTAACATCAAGGTGTTTACTTCTCTGAAATCCTATTTGCAGACGACAAGAATTTTTGGAGGTAACACGCAATGTATTAACAAGCTATTGCATGCAATTGAAAGGCATATTGCGTACTATGGGTTGAAACTGAACTATGGGAAATGCAGCAAACCGACAAGTTTCATCAGTAGGCTTCTCTCCTGATGGACCAGCTGCAGGAAGACTGGTCCCAAGACTGTGATCAGCCACATAGTTAGGCATTTTGCTCGCTGACACATTTGATAAGTAGCCAACAGATTGGGAGATTGTACAGCGACGTGCAATGGACTTTAGATCTTTTGGAAGAGCGAACACACCAATCAAATGGAAAATCCAAGTGTTTCATGCAATCATAAGACCAAAGACTTCTATACAACTGACGAACACTGAAATCTCTAAACTAAATGCATTTCGAAAAAAAAGCCTGAGACCATCCTAGGAAAGCCTCCCATATTCGTTGACAGAGAGCAAGCCAATCAGCGGATGTACCAGAAAATACGCCAGTTCTATCACTGGAACTTTGAGCACCTCGGTGACACATGGAGAAAAGCTAATCTGAGGCTCTTTGGTCACAGCGTGAGATCATTTAGATCAGACCCGTTAAACCGGGGATTCGAATGTTCGTGGTTTGTTTATTCCGGAAGCATCGCAACGGCAAGTCGTACCGCAGCCGTTCGACTTAAGCTGCCCGTCCGTGCCATCTCAGCCGGTACGGTTCAGCTAGTGAAAGTTTAGGCTGTCACGGCTTGATGCCGAGGAGTTCCTCTTCCGACTCCACGCCCCGGCCCCGCCGTCGTCGCCGTGGACGTCGTCGTCAGGCCGGTTTCCGGTATTGCCTTAGTAGTCCGGTTGGGTGTCACCGCGTGGCAGCCCTCGCCGACTTCTTCGAGCAGCCGCCGGTCTCCTTCCTCCGCTTCGAGGTTGGTTGACTCCAGCACGCTGGGTATTTTTATCTGCCGCTGTGCTTCAGGCGTTCACCCTCCGTTCCGGTGCCCTTGTCAGGCGCTCGGTCCTTCCGGTGAGCTCCTTTTTCACTTTCTTTTTCTGAGGCCGCAGTCCGGTCCGTCCACCTTTGGTGCGACTACCCCTGCTGCTACCGCCGCGGAGGCCCGGACTGCCCGCTATGTCCGTTCGCCTCTGATTTGCTTGACCATGCTTGAGCTCCGGTTGCGCGCATGCAGCAGCATTCCCGCTCTCAAGCATTTTGCCTCCCGCTCCCTCCCGTTCTTTGCTTTCAGCATGAACCGCTTCGGAGGATCTCATCCGCTTCGCGATCTGGCCCGTGGCTTGCGGTATGCCCAGGCTGGCTTGGGAGCCGGCCCAACTACGCCGTCCTTTGGACCTGGCCCGGCTGCTGCGGTCATGGATCCGCCGGCCCAGCACCAGACTGCCCCGGCCGACAATGCTGGCGATGGGCAGCCGGCCGCCGCCCCTGATCCGGTTCCGGTGCCTGCCGCCGCCCCTGCGGATCCCCCCGGCGGTTACTTGGCCACCTCCAAAGCTGCCTCCGGAGCCCGCTCTGGTGCTGGTGTTCCTGCTGGTGATGGCACTGCCCAGCCGGCCCCTCCGGTGATCCAGACCAAAGCGGTGCCCAAGCATCCGCCCACAACCGGTGGCCTGCCTTCCAATCCCCCGGCTGCGCTGTGATTCCACCGGCATCGGCAGACACCCGCCCGGCGGAGTCGGGTCAGCAAGCTTCCGGATCCGGTCAGCCAGCGTCCGGCTCTGGGCCGCGTCCGGCCGAGTGGATGGCTCCGCCGCATGACCCGGATCGAGAGCGCGCCCTTCGCCAAGTCATGCTGGAGTTCCTTTCCGAAGCAGATGATGACTTGGTCTACGCCGGGCTGGCCGACCTCCCGCTGAGCCAGGCTTCCCGGTTGCTGGTGCTTCTCTCCGAGGTGTGCCAGGACAACTTTTATGCCCTGGCCAACCTGGGGCATTACGACGTCGAGGCGCCGATCTCTGTGTTGGCCGCTCAGTCTACCCGGCCCCCCTCCGTTCCGGGGCAGTACCGTCCGGTTGGCGCACGCTCCATGCCGGAGGGCCCCCGCTTACCGGACCGTGATGGTGCCGCGGCTATTGAGGAGAACCTGGCCCGCCCCCAGCCCAGCTTCCCGCCAGCCCGCGTTGCCCGGACCGACACTCGGGCAATCCCTCTGGATGTGCCTCTGGTGCACTGTGACCGGAACCGGCCCTCGGTGACGCCCCAGTTCGATCCGGATGCCCCGCTGACCCCGAGGCGTATCAACACCGGTCCGTGGAATAAGTCAGAAGGCTGGATGCGCCTGTCCATCTGCCTTCCGGACTCTCCCGGCCCGTTTGTCCGCGACCCGGAAACATGGCCTTATGCGGACCTCCTTTGCTTTGAGCTGGAGGACTTACCACCATGGGTGCCGATCCAGCAGCCCCCGTCCGGCCTGACGCACCTCCGGATCCGTGGCTATTGTAGCCATGATTGCCCGGCGCGAGGACCACGCTGTATGCGCTGTTGCCTCCGGCCGATATTGTATTACAGCCGGACGGCTCACACCGGCCACAAATGCCATAATTGTATGGAGGATGGCCTCTGATCCGCCCCGGCGGTATCAGCATTTATGGTCTTTTCTTCCCCGGGCTCTGAAGCATAAATCATTATTTCGACCCGGCCTTAATTTTACTACCTCCCGCGTTCCGGTGGCCATTCTCCCTGCGTCTCACCGGTCATCCGAATCCGACCGGTGGGTTCTGGATCTGGCTGCCCCTGCGGAACTGCAAAAGCCCTCTGCTCGCTTACATGTTGCCCTGTTCCTGCTCTAGCGGTTTACGTTTTCATGCTGCCCTGATTCAGGTTCCGCTCCCCTCCGAGGCCTGTGCTGTCAGTCTTCTGGTTTGCCTTTCACTCCGCCCTTGTCAGGCAACACCGAAATCCTCGTGGCCGCGGCCCGGCGTGCTTTCACAGGTTGCTCCTCTGAGTCTGCTCCTGTCAGGCGCGTCATCATTTGCACCTGTGTTGCCTGCGGCACCGTGCTGTGAGCCTCCGGCTCCTGGCCCGTGTCCAGGGCAATGCTTGCATCTGCCTTCGGATGAGGCCCAGCCGTGCACCCCTGTTGCGGCCCGCCCTCCGCTGAGCCCCCTTGGTTCCCCAGGTTCGGACCTTTTTGCATCGGATGGGACTGAGGCCGGGTTCCAACTGGTCGCGGGTTTTTCATCAAACTCTCCTACATCTGGTGTGTCTGACCTGGCCCTTCCTGGCCTGGCTTCCTTGGTCGTCCCGCCCTTGGCTTGCCCTCCTGACAGCCTGCGTCTGCCTGGCTGGTGCCCGCGCCCTAGGCCGGTGCCCAAGCCCTGCTCGCCTCCTTCGGCCGCGCCTGGACTTCTTCTCTGCCCTCGGGTCCCTGCCCGCCGCGCTCCTGTGTTCCCTTGTGGGCCGTCCGTCTTCTCTCCACCTGTACCACGTCTCCTGCCGTTGGGGCGTCGTGTGTCTGTTGGGTCCGGCTCCAAATCGCCGTTGTTGCCCGACGGGCGGTGACACCCCGGCCCCATCCGGCAATTACATCCTCGGGCCTCTTCCCCTTGCCTCGGCCTCGGACTCTGGGTCCTCCATGGCCGCCGCTGCCGAGGCCGCCCTTGTGACTTTGAGGGCTGCCTTTTGCGATGCCGTGCAGGACCTTGGTGATGACTGCACACTTTGGCTTCACACGAAACTGGTGCCGTCCCCCCGTGAGCTCCAAACCCGGGCGGTCGCGAAGTTTGCCCCATCTACCCTCACTATTTATCTGCGTCTCTGGAGTGCCTGGGTTCTGCACTGTCGCCGCTTCGGTTTTAGCTGTTCCGACCCGGCTCCAGGGGCCGTTCCTGATTGGCTTCACCGGAACGCCGCCCCCTCCGGACTTGCGACTTCGGCTTTCAAGTCACTTAGCTGGATGTCGCGCATTGCTGGGTTGCCTTCCTTGGCGGCGCAACTGCAAACTCCGTTGTGCACTGCGTTCCTCACCGCTACCATCCCCATTGAACGACGAGAATCCCTGCCGTTCTCCGTCTCTTTTGTTGCCTGGCTGGAACGTCGAGTTATGTGTCCGGACACTCCGGCCCGGGATGCCCTGGTGATGGGATCCGTGCTGTGCTTGATCTGGTCCAGTTTGCGCTGGAACGACGGGCTGTGGTCTCCGCCCGGCCGTTTGGTGCTACTCTTCCGCCGTGACTGGCCTGGCCACTCGCACGAAAAGTTGCCGTGCCTCCATGCCTTGGGGTTGTCAACTGTTCGGCCTCACCGGGGGCCCTTCTGCCTGCTGGGGCCTGTCGTGGCTTAATCTGGTAAACCGTGCCCTGGCGGACACCCGACTCCGTTTCCCCGGCCGGTCCGTGGATTTTCTGCTGCCGTTGCTTGCTCCGGATACCGAATCCTTGGTCATGGTTTCTCCATTGCACCGGTCGCGGGCCATGCCCTGGCTCCGGGCATTGTTGGACGAACATTGGCGAGAACACAGTTCCGGCCCGCCCCCTCCGGAACATGCCCGCTTTGGGGTGCACTCGTGCAAAGCCACCGTCCTCAGCTGGGCCCGGCAGTGTCACTTGAGTCCGGAGCTTCGCCGCCTGCAGGGCCATCACCGGCCGTCCGCTATGGAAGGATCCGTCCGCGTCTATAGCAGGGACGACGTTGGCCCCATGTTATTGCTGCAATCGAAGTTATCAACCGCATCCGGTCGGGATTCCGCCCTTTGCAGCCTGTTGCTCGTGGTGCGTCCCGCCCTCTTCCTGACTTCCGGGTCTCCTTGCCCCCTCCGGACCGCCATATGGCAGGCGAGGCCCCTAAAGATGTTCCCCCTCGTTCCCGCTCTCCGGTTCCTCACGCCAGGCCCAGTGCCACGGCTCCGGTCGATGATGTTCCGGAACTCTCGGCTGACAGTTCCGACTCTGATGTGTCAACCGCGTCCGCCAGTGACGTTGACACCTCAGTCCCTGCAAAACCGAAGCTGGCCGTCCGGCCCAAGCGCCCGGCGGCCCACACATCGGATGACCTTCGGGCCTTCCTGGTAAACCCGCGCAGCAACATTGTTCACAAAGCGGTGTCCTGCTCGTCCTGTACCCCGCATGCTGTGAATATTGCACTTGATGGACTTGAGCCCTTTTGTGCGCGCCCGGCATGTGGTGCCTCTACTGCCCACATGTCTGCCGACTGCTGGTTTACGACCCCTCCTGTGGGTGCTCAGCCATGCCTCCGCCGAGCATGCCGGGACGACTAGACGCTCGCGCTGTGCATGAAAACTGGTCGCCGCTCCGTATGCCGCGCATCCTTTTTGAGAGTGCATTGCCTTGTGGTTCCGGCTTGTTTACATCCGCAGCCATTTTGCCTTCAGGTAGAGGTTCTTCTAGTCTGGGTTCCGGCCACCAACCACATGGCTGCCGACTACCCCGCCGCGAGTTATTCGGCCTCTTCCCAGCAAGCGCCTGCTCCGGACGTTTGGCACACCTTCAGGGCGGCCCGTGGCCATGACGGCGCAGTCCTGCTGCCTTCCGTCCCGGAATTGGTGGACCTGGAAGATCTTAGCGATGAGGACCTGCTGGCCATGCTCCGCCGGTGCTCGGCTGGCTTCTTGGCACGCCTGGCCCGCCTCATCGGCAGGATCCTCCGCCCGGTGCCGCAAGTGGTGACCTGCCACCTCCCTTGCGTGAATCCGGAATGCAACCAGGTGTGTGGCCGGGTCATCGACGTCACTCGCCGCCGCCAGCATCGGAACCATGCCTGTCGGGTTTGCCACAGTTTTGGATGGTGAACCCGTTTTCCTGGCCAACGCGACTGGCCCGGCCGGTGAATTTTGTCTGCCACCTGCCGCAATGACCTGGCATCCGGCACTGAGCAGGGCGCAAAACTTTGTGTGGTTACGCCTTGTTTCCGCCGCTTCTGCAAGTTGCTGTCATGTAGCGTCTTGCTCCGCAGCTGGCTCATTAGCATCAGGTAGGCTGTGCTGTAGGCTGTCACTGGACTTTGGATTTCCCCGGCCTTGGTCCCCATGACCTCTGCCCCCTCTTCCTTTGACGACCCCGCTGCGCTCGTCGCTCTGCTCAAGCAGTGGCACGCTCCTGATGAGCTGCTGGAAGCGCTGACGCTTAAAGGTTTCAAGTCCCTGGCCAGCATTGCGTATGCCATCCCACAGGATGGGTCCCCGGATGACTTTGTCCGGAAACTCTGGCCGCCGGCGGCTGGATCTTCCGAAGCCATTGTCTCTCCTGCTGCTGCTTTTGCACGTCGCCTGGTCGTACAAACCCAAGCGGTTGCCCACCCTCCTGCACCCCCGGCACCCATCCCTGGCCCCAGCCTTCCTTCGGCTCCTGCGGCCAAAATCTCTGCCGCCGCAGCTGAGACCATGCGAGAAAAGTTCATCACCGATTACCCGGGGGAACTCCTGTCCCCGGCTAATACTCCCAGCGTCGAATTTCTGAACCGTCTCCGGTCCGAACTTGATGCCCCAACGTCGCTCTGGATTCCGTGGCGCTTGAGGACATCTGAGTCGGATCTGCAGCATTTCTACGAATCCCGCCGGCCCCGTTCGGATGCACAGCTGTTGCGGGGCTTGCTTGAGGGTGTTCCGGACCCTGTGGTGGCCCAATCCTCCGCTCCCACCTCCGGCCCGGTCGAACCTACGTTGCGCCGCCATCTGGGCCTCCTGATTACAGCTTTTGCCTTCCTGGGTGACCTTCACCTCCGTGCCGGGAAAATGCTTCTTGAAGCATTTGTGGCCGCTGCCGTGGAGCAGCCTATCGACACTACCCTCCGCCCTCCATCTATGCAGGAGGTCATTGCTGCCGAACGCACCGTGTGGTCTAACGTTGCCACCCTGATGCGCGATGAGAAGTGGAGCCTCCCGGACTCGGTCACCGAGATTACTGTTACGCGGCATATGCTCCCGAACATTCTTGTGGCCCGGCCGCGCAGCATCCCGGCGCCTCCGGTTAGGGAACCTGGACTCCGGAACCTTGACCGCACCCGTCCGGAGGATGCTCCGGAGCGCCCGCCCAAGAAACCCCGTCCCACACCTAAGGGTAAAGCTAAAGCCGAAGCGAAGGCCACCGGGAAGAAGCCCATTTCCGAGCTATGGGACGATTCATGGCACTCCGTTGATGAGTCCGGAAAAGAGATATGCCGCCGGTTTGTTGTTGGTCGGTGCAAGTTGTCCAACTGCCGCTTCAGCCACACGTGCCCCATTCCGCTTCCGTCCGGAAAGCCCTGTGGGCAAAAGCATACGGCCAACAAGCACAACAAAACCCCGCATTGACTACCTACTGGCTCCGTGTCCGGCGCTCTGAATGCGCCCGCTCCTGTGTGCATTCCATCGTCTTCTGATGAATCCGAGTGCATTGTCTCTCCCACGCCGTGCGGCCCGTGCCCCCCGACATCATCTGTTACGCGGCCTGCCGCTCCGCTGGTGGTTGGACCTTTGGCTCCCTCGGACACTCGAGCACGGTCCCGCTCTCCGCGCCGGACACGCCTTGGATTTTCCTTTTCTTTTGTACCACCTCGCGTCCCGCTGGGACGCCGCATTGGATGCCCCGCTCCACCGACACAACACACAGTGTCGGGCCCGCCTCCTGCCCCGGAGACTTTGACACAAACCTTGCCGGAACCTGTGTCTCACCCTGCACCTTGCAAGCACCGTCTTTTTCTTGACTTGTTCTCCGGCTCCTCGGCGCCGCTCTCCCGTGCAGTCGCTGCTCTTGGTCTGGACCGCATTTCCCCCATTGATTGTCTCCACGGGGAGCATGTTGACTTGCTTGACCCCGACACTCAAACCTCCTTGCGCCGGCTCTGCTCCAGTGGTTTGATTGCTGTGGCTGCTGCGGCTCCTCCTTGTTCCAGCTTCAGCCGTTCCCGCCTCCGTCCAGGGGGCCCGCCGGCGGTGCGCACACCCGCACACCCTTCTGGTATTCCCCGGCCTTCCCCACGCCAACAAGCCGAGTTGGATTCCTCAGACCGGTTGCACACATTCACCCGGGAGTTGCTCACGCTCGTTATGTTGGCTGGAGGTATTGCCATCTTAGAAAACCCGGCCTCCAGCTTACTCTGGCTTGTCCCGGGCTGCCGATCCTGGATCCGCCACCACTGCATGCATTCGGTTGAAGTTGCCGCTTGCAGCCACGCCTTGGACTACCGCAAAAGCTGGCTTTTTGTGTCCAACTTTATCTGAGGTCTCTCGCGTCTGTGTGCCAACATCCTCCCGGCTCTCATGCGACTACGTCCGGACGCCGGACTGCCTCCGGTGCTTTCCTCACACGGGATACCGCCTGTTATCCCTCGTCACTGTGCTCTGCGCTTGCTGACCTTTTCAAGCCGTTGCTCTCGTCACACACCGGCGAGATCCCTTTTCGTTCCTGGCATTCGCTTCTTCCTGCTACACTTTTCTGGCCCATTCCGGCGAATCGTGTGGAAGATGGTGCCGGCACTTGCTCATCTGCTTCTTGGTCTGTTCCCAGAGGTGCTGATTGCTTCGGCTCCCTCCGGAAAGCCTGGTGTGCTCGCATTCTCTCAGGGGACTTCTTGTCCAAGTTCCAAGCCAAGTTGTCTTCCGGATCCAAGGCCCCTCCGCTGTCGGACCCTGAACTGGCCCCGTTCCTCGATGACCTTCGATCCTTCCTTCGACTTTCCGCCCCGGATTTTGACACGCTTTTGTCCATCCCGCCGGGACAGCCTTTCCGCCTCTTTCTGTTGGAAGCGCTGTTGTCTGTTTTCAAAGATCCGGACACCTCCTTTGTGGACTTGCTCACTGAGGGCGTCCCCCTGGGCGTTGATTCCGAGATGCCTTCCTGTCCGACCCTGTTTCCCCCGGCCGGACAGTCCGCTCCCACTATGGACTTGACACATTGCTCCTCTTCTTGGGGCTCCGCTTTGTCGGATCAAGCATCCGTGGATAGCCTTCTTTCCGAAGAGATTTCAGAAGGGTGGGTGCGTGAAATCCCCGGTGGACTGGACGAACTTACAGCCCGTTACCAGCAGACTGCTGTTGGGAAGCTGGGCTTGGTGAAATCCCCCGGCCGGCCGGATCGACTGGTCGTCGATAGCAGTGTTTCCGGTGTGACCGAACACACATCACTTCCCAACAAGTCCGCAAATCCGTCCATCTCCGGTATTCGCCAGTGCCTTCCGCCGGAGCACGCCATAGAATGGCTCATCGCGTTAATTTTGGACGTCAGCAAAGCCCACCGCCGGATCAAAATCCGTGACTCTGACCGTGGCCTTTTGTGTTTCTTTCACCGGAACCGGCTGTACCAATGCTTAACGCTTAACTTTGGCGCACGCGCCTCCGGCTTCTACTGGTCCCGGATGGCCGGCTTGCTGACCCGTCTACTTCACCGCCTGGTCTTTGTCAAACATTGCCTGCTGATATATGTTGACGACTTGATTGCTCTGCTTTCCGGCCCGTCCGGCCCGGTTTGGGCAGCACTGATGTGCATCATGTTGCTCATTCTCCGCGTTCCGATGAGCTGGCACAAGGCCTACTTGGGCCCCCGGCCAACGTGGATTGGCTGGTCTATCTGCCTCCACTCCCTTTCTGCCACCATGGAAGCTCCTAAGCTTGACCGGCTGCGTGACCTCCTGGCCAAAATTCGGGGGTCAGATTCCGTCCCGCTCCATCTTCTCCGCAAGCTCACCGGCAAGCTCCTGTGGGTCTGCTCCCTTTTTCGACCTTTCCGTCCCAGTTTAGCTCCCCTGTATTCCGACCAGGGCAAGCCTCCTGTCGTACATGTTGCTCTGAGTCCGGCGAAATGGGCTTCGTTCCGTTCCAAGCTTGACTCACACCTGGTTCTGCAGTCTGACGTGGGTCTCGCATCCTGTCCGAAGTTATGCACACTGATTTCTGTCTCGGGTCGTGAGGTATCCTCACTTTCCCAAGTCCCGGTGTCCTTCCCTGGCGAACGCCGCACCTGGATTTCCGTGCGCATGCCACCTGAATCCGACCGGAAGCTTTCCAAGGAATCCTTGGCGGTGCTGGACATGTGGCACGCCTGCCTCGCCGATGCTCCCCCTACGTTCCCGCTGCCCCTGGCTCGTGAATTCCCCTGCCAGGCGTTCGCGGACGCCTGCGCCGATGCCCAGCATGCCGGCATCGGTGGTTTCGTCACGCTTCCTTCCGGCAAGACTGCCTGGTTTCAACACCGGTTCTCCGCTTCGGAGCTCACTGCCCTATTCCCCTGGTTCCCGGTTGGCACTTCTCCGCAAGCCTGCATTGCTGCTTGGGAACTTCTCGGACAGATCGCTCTCCTTTGGGTGATTGGCCTCCTGATTCCGGTTTCCCTTCACCCCATCCACGTTGTCACCCGCTGTGATAATTCCCCTTCCGACTCTGCTTCGTGGAAAGGACTCTCCACTGCCCGGGGAATTTGCTCTCTCCTTCCGGCCTATTTTGCCTGGCAGCGTGCATTCTGCATCTCCACTTATATTGACCATGTTCCGGGTTTCCAGAACACTGTTGCCGATGGTCTTAGCCGAGGTGCTGACCCGACCACCTTTGGACTCCGACCTGGTGACCGGGTGGATATTCCGTGGGCTCTCATCTCTCTACCTCCTCGGCCTTCATACCATCCGTCGAGTGCCCTGAACCTGTCCCTTTTTCCGGCTATGGACTTCTAATTGTGGCTGGGTTTCCCCCGGTTCGGGTAGTCCCCACCTCAAGGGACTAACTAGTTTGGCCGTTAACCCAGCCGCCTTGTTCTCCGGTCCCGGGACTATCCTCTGGATCTGCCCGGGTACCGAATATATATCCCGTAGCTCGTCCGGTTGCCCGGTTCCGGAAGATCCGCGAGCCGGGCCACAGACCGAGCTGCTTGAGCCAACCGTGAAAAAGGTGATGCATCCGTGAAGTCCGCACTTCATGTTATTCCGTACCGCAGAGACGTAACGGACTAGTGCTTCCGGATAAACGGGGATTCGAATGTTCGTGGTTTGTTTATTCCGGAAGCATCGCAACGGCAAGTCGTACCGCAGCCGTTCGACTTAAGCTGCCCGTCCGTGCCATCTCAGCCGGTACGGTTCAGCTAGTGAAAGTTTCCCACCACCGTCCCCTTATCACCTCCGTTCGGTGGTCCATCCATGCTGTCTGGACTTTCTGTGTTTTTCAGCTGGATTTCCGTCTGCACTTCCGTAGGCCGTTAACCCAGCCGCCTTGTTCTCCGGTCCCGGGACTATCCTCTGGATCTGCCCGGGTACCGAATATATATCCCGTAGCTCGTCCGGTTGCCCGGTTCCGGAAGATCCGCGAGCCGGGCCACAGACCGAGCTGCTTGAGCCAACCGTGAAAAAGGTGATGCATCCGTGAAGTCCGCACTTCATGTTATTCCGTACCGCAGAGACGTAACGGACTAGTGCTTCCGGATAACCAAATGGTATTTCATTCCGACAACCTAAGGCCCAGGACTGTTTTGACAAGGAGGGTGGGTATTTGACTGGTTGCTGGAGACATATTCTGGCTCATACAAACAAATAGCTGGTCCCACAGCTGTGTTTGATTCCGACGATGATGCCCATCTCCAAATTGTCAAACAACAGGCTCTTCAAGGGCTGGATCCTTTTGAGTTCCGGATGATGGCACACCAAGGCTTTCAGCCTCTCCAAGTAATACGCGACGTAATTTCATCAAAGTTGACGTGGTGCTGTTTTTTTGAGCCGCATGTTTGCGTGCTTCTTGGCTTCAATTGATCAAACTACCAGGTTCTGTTGGGAGCTCAATGCGCTCGCTAGAAACAATGGGAAGCAACTGCTAGTTTGGCACTCACACAAATGGGTGGAGTTTGCCCATATGCAGGATCAAGAGAAGATACGAAAAAAACGGGCTCCAACAACAGATGGCCTTTCATCCCTCTTTGGGGTGTGCCATTGTCGGGGCTTTCAGAGTCGTCTGGTTATTCAGCATCCATTGGTGAAGTGTAGTGTGATGCATGACCTCCGTCATACACGCAGGATCTATAATAATCGCAAGGGGGCCCATGCAGGGCCCAAAAGCCACATTTACATGATGCATGAATGAAAACCGAGACTAAGGCAGATCGTCAAGTTTCCCATGTTCATGGTGGGTTGAGTCTTTTCCACCGCGTGTTTTGCAGGTGCAGGAAACTCCGTTCAGCTTCCATTCCAGTCCATCCCATAGCCTCGTTGGAGTGGCTGAGAAAACGGCGACCCTGACCCCTTGCAAAAAAGGTGTACAAAAACGTTAGGTGCACGTCTGCATATGCCCTCACGATCTGTACATGTAACTGCCAGAAACGCTGCAGGCCAAAGGTTGCTGAAGAACACTCGGTCACTTCTGATATGCACATGCACTGTCGCAGCGGTTCCTGCATCGAAAGGCCGAAATTTCAGACAACATGTAAAGTTCGTTCAGGGCGTGCCTCAGTCCACCTTCGGTACAAGGGATTGCTTCTCTTCTCTCTCTCTCTCTCTCTCTCTCTCTCTCTCTCTTTCTCTACATATACACACACACACACACACACACGCCTACGAGCTGCGTCCCTGCAGGGTGTGCCTTCATGACAGTCCGCTCGGCTGACTCTCCCAAACACCCATGCACCCCTATCCAGTGTAGGATGTACCCTGATATTCAATACGCTTTGACTGGCTTCCCTGTTCAGGCGGTGTGTTTGTCTGTCTGTCTTCTTGTCTGGCCTGCACCACTTGCCAAAGCTCCAAGTGCTCCTCTTGTTCGTTCAGGTACAACTGCACCCTGGGCCGCCCGCTGCACCATTCCCAGAGGCTCTCCGAGGACGCTTGCGGTTGCGTTTGGTTTCGTTGGCACATGAGATGCTTCCTTTCAAGGGCCTTTCGGTTCCTTTCGAATCGGAGCTTGCATCCATTTGCGGCTGGCAGCCATTGATTGCATGTTCAACGGTGAGACATAGTCTTGTTCCAGGCTGCTTTGTTTTTACGAGTCCCAAGGGGGGACGAACAGGACGAACAGAAAGATCGAAGTCTGCGGCAGTGGGGTTACATTGAGTTTATCTCGGCTCTTCTCCATTCTCCAGTTGGCATCGCGATGGGAACAGCTCGGCAGCATGAACACGGCCCAAGACTCCAGGTCCAGAACAGATAGCCTCTCTCAAACGCTTAATGAGAAGCTCCAGTTGCTGTTCCGCAGCCTTGTGCAAAGGAGTCTCGGGCTTTCGTGAGCGAGGTGTTGCAGCCGCTGCTAGAAGAGACTTGCCTTTTTCAGATATCATTGGCGTCGACCATTCAACGCAAGAGCCCTGCCTTTCTGCACTTGACCACGCTTAGGCTCCTGGGCGAGCCCAAGGAGTCTGGAAGGCCTGGCTCCCTATGATCAATGATCTATGCCAGCGCCCGTCTTCGTGCGGAGGTTTGTCTTCACTCGGCGTGGTTAGAGTGTCTGGCTCAGCCGACTCAGGCTTCCTTTTGCCTTAGTGTGGCGTCGAAATACAAGGCAAAACATGCGAGACTGGGATGGTGTCGGGGCCGCGGTCGACCAAAATAACGAATGCAGCGGTTCAGGTAGCACGAGACCTCATATTGAATGGGGCTAAGGCGCAAGGTGGTCACATTACAGGGGCATCCAACGGCTACAAGGCAAGACGGAGTCTTCGCGGCTGATGCCGACGTCGGTTCCAGCATATGTGAGGCAGGCGTTCAATAGCAATGAGGTGAGCTGCACTAGAGAATGACATGCTTTTGTAAGGACTTGTTTACCATGTTCCGAGAATAAAGATGGATCGACAAACAGGCATGACGTATGGTGAGATGGCCTGCAAGTAGTTGGGAGAGAGACATGTTGCCAGGCGCATCACACGCATCGCCAAGTGAGTAGATTCCGGTGGTCCCGGGACGACAAGGAAACTGGCCTCCAAGATCTAGGATTGATGTCGCAGAGGCCGACAATGGAATGATTGGGTGTGACAGCCGGCACTTCCAGAGAACCCGACTTTTGCAGACTGGCAGACTGGCTCGGTCCGACCTCGTGAGCTTCGATACTATGCGTAATCTGTCCCAACTCTTTGCCATGCCCTCACTATTGGCATGAGTACAGAATTTTGGAGGCATCAGAACAAATCTGTTCGCACCTGAAGCAGATAGCGTTGAACTTTAAGAATGTACAGAGCAATTGGTCAAGGGTAATTCCGTGCGAATTCCATCTGAGGTTCAGGTGCAGTCATGGCATAGTCTTGCGCTGTAGACCAAACAAATCATAACATACACATGATTGATACTGCATCGCAGCAGGTGTCCATGGACGACGCAGTGAACTCAGCCTGATGCGTCACAGTATGTCTGGTCTGCCCTGTTGCCAGCGGCACAAGATGATTGCATGGAGACGTCTTAAGTTGTGGAGCACGTGTTTGTATCAGAACCGACTGTGGGATGAGTGAGAACGTCATCCGTCTGCAGGTTTGGTCTATTTGCGCAGGCGTGGTGTGTAGAGAGCAGCGAAGACAAAGAAAATGCCTTTGCAAAAGACAGAGCAACAAGAAGAAGAGACAGAAAGAGAGAGAGGGAGACAAAAGAGGGAGAGACAAACGGAAAGGAGCTTGAATCCGGACGCAGAAATGAAGAAGGCGCACATCGGTTTGGGGAGGTGTGTTTCTGCGTACCTGATCTAGCCTGCTAGGAACAAAGGGCGAGATAGAGAGGGAGGGCGAGATGAAAAGCTTGCGAAAGAAAAGCGAGAGACAATGTCCTGCCGTAGAGTCGCGCCTTCCTGAAGATATATGGAGGAACGCAGCACATGTAGAGAGATTCGAAATGATGGTGTAGTTTGTGCATGTTCTCTACCGCACCCAGCATCAACCGTCGCCATTTATCTAGCAGCGCACTTGAGGCTTGAGAAAGGCAGAAGTCGTAATAGCTGAGTTGTCGATTGCAACAGCAAGCCCAAGGCCAGTTAATGAGGGTAGCTGCGAGTAACCTTGAATCTCAAACACCAAACCAGTCGGTTGGGGCTGAGGACGCGCGTGTCATTGAAGAGAACGTCCCCCGCATGGGCCGCGAACTTTTGAAGGGTCTTCAAGTTCTGCATATTCAGAATCTGGTCTGTGCCATCGCCGGACATGGTGCTTGGAAGGCTTCGACTTCGATCGATGACTTGATTCAGCATTACGGCGCAGAAAATCGGGTCCTGCATGCTGTGTGTCCACGTCTTTGCTGAGAGAGATGTGCAACTCCTGTCCAAGCACAGCACAGTCATGCTGGTTCGCCTGCAATGAGTCTCAAGGAGCTCAGCACGCGTGCCGTCCGAAAAGTGCGTGCATATGTGCAGTACAGTGAAGCCTTGAAAAGGCACTCCCCAGCAGAAAAGTCAAGTACGGTGGACAGTCCGACTACTTCTTCCTCTTGCTGCCGCTATTGCGTCGCATGCGAACGACAAAGTCCAATCGTCGAAAAGCCTTGGAGGCTCTTGCAACATTCGTTCGGGGTTGCTGGTTGTGCAAATCCTGATGTGATGTCACTCTGGTTTCGCTTGTGCATCTCTAGCCAGCAGACGATGGAAGGCTTCTCGGTCAAAGACACCGACGCAGAAACAACATGCTGGCCAGCAAGCCAACACAAGCTTGAGCCAGGTCACCAGCTGAGACATGAGCCTTTGAGGCTTTCCCTGAGCCATCATAATCCTGCAAGTGCATCCCAAGCCATGCCGAGGTGAGCACTAAGGACCTGGAGGCGATTGTCTTCGGTGGCGGGCTGCAAGGCGGCGGTGCGGCCTCTCTGGTTGGCAGTTGGGGTGGCGCATTATTCTGCCCTGGCAGTCCTGATAGGTGAAGAGGCAGATACTGGCCAGCCTGACAACGAGAACAAGGCACTGAAGCAGCGATTGAATTCCGTGATCGCGCTCCCGATGTGCACACGCATGGATTTGATTTGCCAGCAATGGATCGCTTCCATGCTCCTTGCAACATCAGCTCTTGCCTGCATCTCCTGATCGGGAACACTTGAGAACGGCCCATGCAACGAACGTGATCGACGTGCAGGAGTGCGCGCGAAAAAACCATCGGGTTATCGCAAGATGTTCGCCCTCGATCACAAACGCAAGGATTGGTGAATTCACAAAGGCAAGGGTTGGTTAAGCACCGAAAAGTTCCGCGCGATGGTGTTGGCCCAAGGTTTGGCCTTTGGGCACGGCGCGCACTTTGCATGACATTTACTTTGGACGTCATGACGCGCGCAGCCTTTTTGGGTTTCCCGCCCGTGCCCTCCCCGCACCGCGGTGAAGATAGGAGGCGCACCGCGGTGCAGTTTCACCTGTAAGCCTGCCACCCGCGGGTGAGCCCAGGCTTGTAGCTTTTGCGAGGAGGCAGTCGGCCCTTGAGGCCCCCATTGTGAACATCGGAAACTTAGCCCAAGCGCAAATTGTTTTACTTACACAAGCTAAGGAGGCTCGTGTGCGCATTGCCTAGAAACGCGATCTGACCTAGCTCCGGAATCCTTCGGAAACATGGGTAATGTGGTATTACAAGGTGTATCTATATGTGGGCAGCTCAATGAAGAATGAATCAAGGATTCCATCCGTTGCGGATCTCTTGAGCTGGGTGAGCATGGCACCAACCCGCAGAATTGAAGTTGTGCTGCAGAGGAAGCACTTCCATCAGCGGCCCGAGCCAAAGTCTGTGCTCAAACTCTGAGTTTCTGCAGATTTTGCGGCCTGCTGAGGCGTGGTCGGATCCAGATGACGCGGTGTTGCAAGTCCCCCTGGCCGATGCCGCAGTCTCTCCGTTCTGCTTCAGTATGCCTGCCAATGTCTTCTTTTATTGCAATCTGAACGCGGTGGTGATCTTGGTAGCAGTCTTTTTAAGAAGCGAGCTTGGGACATTGTGCAGTAGTTGGCCGTCACAAACTTGTGTACGTGTAGAGTTGCAAGCTTGAGGTTGGTGACCGACACAAGAAAAGACTTCGGCAAGCCGATTCACAGGTGACGGGTCAGGAGACCGCGCCTCAGGACCGGTTCTGAACACATTATGTGCAAATCGTGTCCGCCTTGAACGGTTTCGACAGCACAGGTACGAACGACTTCTGCGCAAAAGGTTCTTGAAGCTGAATGGATCTGCGTCATCCGGCGGGCACATTCTGCCGTGTCAAAAAACGCTCGAGAATGCGTTGTTCGCCAAGGCACTGGGCGGAATTGGACCCTTCCGAGGCTGCTTGATGCAGGCAATCGCAGGCAGAGTCATGTGTGTTGGAGGCCCAAGCTTCGGACTCGGAGGAGGACGTTGGAGAAGTCGCAAGCACACGAAACCCTGTGGTAGCATCCGCAGGCAGGTCACATTCCAACCGAATTTGTCAGTGAAATGCGATGCCAGGTTTACAAGCTCGGACGCCCGACTCCGATCTGCAACATGCACATCCTTGCACATCACTCCTCGGCTTGGGTCGTGTCTTCTCAGCTCAGTAAGGCTGGACATCAAGCGCTTGCGTGAGCTGCCTCTTCTGGTGCCAAGAGTCGTGAAACTGGAAATTCCTGGCCAGCAGCATCTGTCTATGCCACCCCATCTCCGACATCAGGCTGCTGGCCAGAAGAAAGCCCCGAGTGCAGTGGAGGCCGGCAGACCCTTGAGTTCATTGGAAGGCCGAAAGCTGCTGCATGAAGGCTCTTCAGTTTCATCCAACATCTGAGCTGCTGTTGACTGCGGGCCGCGATAAGACGTGACCGTCTCAGCATTACTGAACAGCAGATCGTTCTCTGCATGCCGATGTGGTGCGGGTAGCTGATGACACGACGTCTACCGTGCTGTGAGTTGACTGCCCAGAAAGTGTTTGACTGTCCTCTTGTGTTGGTCTTGGTCCTGCTTCACGGTCTCCAGGAGTGTTTCTCGGCACAGCCTTGTCAGATCGCGTGCGCATGGTGTACCTCAGGTGATTGTTCTGGCCGAACACTTCCGACATATTCTGAGAACCAGACCCATGACTGGTCTTAAGGTCTGTCGTTCCTTCAGTTGCTAGAAAGCCTTTTGCCCACAGACACTGTACACCCTGCATACGACAGAGGCTTCGGATGTCGTTAAGGCATGCAAGCGGAGGAGCCATAACGAATCTTGCTCCGACAATAGACATCACGAGTGGCGCTTCCTAGGAGATGCGATTCCGCCAGCAAACCAAACAGAATCCTGTTTTGGGGCCGAAGCGGTCAACAAGCGGCTCATTTTCTGTTGACCGCTCGATGCCTCTGCTTCTTCGCTGTCTTGTAAGTCCAAGACGAACTCCAGATTTGTCCAGCTCGTGTCAGGTGCCATGCGTAGCGGGTGTGCAAGATAAGGACGACAGAAAGATCAGCAAATGAGCAAACCGCTTAGCCTGCAGCGGAGGATTGCGAACTGGAAAACGTAATCCTGATATCTGATGGTAGGGCTCCCGTGGGCTCCCACCTGCTGCGACACCCAGGCGTTTTGATTGGACTTCAAGTTCATTTCGATCCGGCGATGATGACAGCGTCGGCAAAACCCCAGCATGCAGACTGCCCCGAACTATGTATGCCCCGAACTATGCGAGGTCTACAAGAGCCAGAGTTTTCTGGAAGCATGTGTGCATGTAGATCCGTGATTCACGAGACCTGCATTTCAGTGTAGCAAGGCAGCAAACCGGGAGACGGGGATCGGGGTGAAACCAATGCCAGCTGAGATGGTTTCGGATTGTCAAACAAACCAGCCGGAAACATGCTTGCCCAAGATCGGTCCGCTGCGGTGCGTTTACCAATTCTGCTCCGCCTCAACAAAAGATTGAGAAAAGGGAAGCTGCAGGTCGCAGTAGCCGGGGGCAAGACCCATGGAACGCATTGTATGGTGTACAATGGTGTACACTCCTTGTCTGCCTTGGGCATTGCGCCGAGCAAGCTCTTAGTTGGGCTAGGATGTCATCTTAGTAGCCTCCACACTTCTAAACATTTCAAGGTTGCGGCTCTTTGCCGTCGATGGGGAGGAGAATCCCAAGGCAGTTGCTTTGCTTGTTTTTGTTTGCTTGTTGCTGAGCAGTGCTGTCGACAAGGTGGCATCGTACTACTTCAAGAACTATCCCATCCTTGATGCGAAGTTCACACCGGCAGGAGATCAGGCCCCTTCCCGGTGGGAGGGTTTTAGGATGGTCAGCTCGGAGCATGCTTTGAGATCGTAGCGGCTGCACAGGTTCTGATGACCAGCTCCTCCAGTCAAATCTGGGGCCGCTCTCCCAATGGGGCTGTGGGGCTGGAGCTGCCCCCACCCCTCCCACATTCCTGAATGGCGAGGTCTGGACGTCAGCAGCGGGGAGCCTTTCGAAATGCGTGGACAGCTTACGTGTGTACCCCGCAATATTGCCACCTCACCCAAGCTTCAAGTTTAGAGAACATGCGAAGCAGAGGGGAACATCACCGCAGCGCTGCATCTCCTGCATGCACACCGTACATTTCACGGACGTTGCAGTGGTGGCACTCACTTTTGCACAGCCACAAATTTGGCTGTGCTCACGACGGATTGTAAATCTGAATTAGACCGGATGCATCATTGCCACAGTTCTTTCACCGCAGTCAGTGAAACTCTCTGTGAACTCTGCATGTTGTGACGACCGACGACTTGAAGCACTAGAGCCTAAAGCTCAACGGCTCTGAAACAAGATTCATGTCCATGCACAACTCTCCTCTCGAGCTTCGTACATGTCGACACTTCACAGGGGAGGGCGTATTTTTTCGGTCCGTGTTTTTGTTGGTCTTTTTTCTTCGATGGGGTCCCTTCGAAGGCAATGAAGGAAGGAAGGAAGGAAGAAGGACGGAAGGACGAAGGAACGAAGGAAAGAAGGAAGGAAGGATCCTGATTGGCTGCCCCCCTTAACCCCCCCACCCCGCCCCCCATATGATTTAAACCTGCCATGCGAGCATCGTGATTGCAAATGTGGGGGGCTCCCCACTGTTTTGAGCCGTGCGCAAGGTTGCATGACAGCCTAGGAGTCGTTCTTGAAACCCGCGTGCCTGAGATGAGTCTTTTAGAAACAAAACACCATTCACCTTGTGACAAGGGTGCTTGCAATTGGGGCAGCATAGGAGTCGCTTTTGAAACCCACCCTGCGAAAAATGTGTTTGCAAATGGGAAGCTTGTCCCGCACGTGCGAGAGTGCCAAGCTTGCTTGACAAGCTCATTGGGGCATTGAGTTCAGTTGACAAAACCTAGTCCAAGTTGTGTTGTCTCAACAGGATACAACAACAACAACCACTGCAACCACAACAACAGCAACGACAACGACAACAGCAACAACAACATCAGCAACAGCAACAGCCACAACGACGACGACGACAACGTCAACGACAACAACAACAACAACAACAACAGCAGCACAACAACCACAAGAACCACACCAACCACACCAGCACCAGCACCACCACCACCACCACCACCACCACCACCAACTACACTACGTTTTCAACTTCAACCGCAACTACAACTACAATGACGACAACAACAACAACAGCCGCAAGTGTAGATGACAGCCGCCAACGAGCAGTGAACACCGCACCACAGCAGGAGACAGACGCAGCCAGCATCTTGCGCGTAGGACGCGGGACCCAGAAATCAAATCAGCCAAAATTGCGCACAGCACCACAGCGGGGCGACACATTCAGCCGGCATCCTGTGTAAATAATGGGACGTGGGGGCCCAAAAAAAGAAAAAAATTGAAAAAAAAAAACGAAATACAACTCCACCCATTCACAAGTTTAGCAGAAGCAGGTGTAAGTAAGTCACGTCGGAGGCAGTCCCCACCGCAGTGCTCCGCGTTGTTTGGCCATGGGTCACGTGCTCAGAACCTATATGGGCTTGCTCATGCACAGGCTGCATCGGTATCGATTTTCTAGACAGGCCCGGGGTCGACGAATGAGAAGTCTTCACATATGTGGGTGCCTCGAATATGTTGCATGGACCCAGGCAGAGACAGAACCCATTCCACACCGAGGTACGGGTTCCTCGGTGACGCTGGAGCCATAAGCCTTTGTGACGTCAAGACAAAGCACACCATTAGGACTCAGCGCAGCGTGCTGTCATGGCAATGTACCGCTGCACATGCGCAGCGCTTCACTCAACCATTTTGAAATCTGTTGGTCCGTGCTACTCCGTTGTTGTGTGTTCAGCTGTTTGGGCATGCCTCAAGACTTCGCCACGAAATTGAGCTACGATCGGTCACCGGGTACAAGGCCTCCAAGACCCATTTCTTGGAGCCGGGGGCTCTGCTCGAACCTGGCGAAGTTGCAGTTTTTTCGTCGCCTCTTCAGACTCCGATGAAGATATAACCCAGCAGTGCGGGAGTCTCCGTGCAGATGTGACACAAGTTACGACAGTGAAGTACAGCCCCATGCGCAGTCCTGTTTCATGCAGGACCTTCCGGATGAGCTCTTCCGGGATCGCACTCGTTTTTGCACCTCATCAGGCTGAATCCGGCTGACATATTATACAAGTAGTTGAGTCGTCCAGAGCCTCGGTGTAGCTGTTCGTATGTGGTCCATGTCATCTTGAAGCCAGGCCTGCTTATATTCGGCAGACGAAGAGCCTTGGTCTCAGGAACAGTTGGTTTCAAGCAGGTTTCTGCAAACAGCACATCAGCTGCAGGTGCAACATTTACGAATGGGACATTACTTCGGGACGGTGCCGGCAGAAGGTCAAGGTCCGGATCCATGAGACACGGTCACTGACTCAACGCCTCCAATTCGCCAGGAACAGTGGACCGTTCGCATTCAGCACTTGGCGGTGAGTGCTGCTGACAAGCCGAAGCTTGCTGTCGGCAGCGCGCCCCACCCTCAGCATCAGCCTCGTGCTAAATTGCAAAAGCCTGCATGCAGACGTTTCAATTCCTAAGCTGACTTGTGACTTGTGAGACTTCCGCTACAGATTCTCCGGAAGGTCCAAGCTGAAGGCTTGTAAATGCACTACCTTCAACACGATGCAGCCCTTTCAAGGCTCCTGCCTAGGCCAAACAAAGAATATCATCGCCGGGTTCCCTTCCAAGTGTAGTAGTGTTGTACTGCGTTAGGGTAGTTAGGGATGTTGGTGTGGGTTCAGCTTAGGATTCGCTTGTGAGCCTCGCCATCCTCTACTTGGGTAAGACTGGCGTGTTCTGGTCGAAGCTGTCCTCGTGTCGCGCCGCAGTGAGGACTGGCAACATTGATTTCTTTGAGCTTGGCGCAAGCTTATCAAGAGAGCAGGCCACTGAGGCTTCAATCCTGCTCAAGAGTCTTCTGCATTCTGCTGTATGTGCATACCCATCACATTGGCATGAGTGCTTCGCGAGTCAGCAAGGCCCGACCACAGCATCGGAAATCTGACAACAAGAATCGATGCGCTCAGGCTGGCCCAACATAGCACACCACACGATAGAATGCTTCTGAGCCATTGTCCTTCAGCGCCGTTGTGCCCCCATGCATCCGACGCTAGCGCGGAGCCTCAACCCATAGTAAGTAGTTGATCAGTGCACAATTTGCGAGCCGAAATTCCACCACCAACACCAACACCGCCCTACTACCAACAACAGCAACAACACAGCCACAGCCCAAGCAACAACAACAAGAAGACCAAGACCAGCAGCAACAGCAGCAACAGCAGCAACAGCAACCCCAACACAACCCCCCGACAGCAACAGCAATGTCAGCCACAGAAACAACACAACACCAACAGCAGGAATAGCAACGGCAACACCACCACTGCCGCCACTGCCGCCACCACCACCACCACCACCACCACCACCACCACCACCACCACCACCACCACCACCACCACCACCACCACCACCACCACCACCCCAATGCCAACAAGAGCAACACCAGCAGCAGCAAGAGTGACAACAACAACAATAACAACAGCAGCAATAGCAGCGCAGCAACAACAGCAGCAGCAAAAGCAGCAACAACGGTAACAACAGCAGCAACAACAGCAGCCAAAGCAGACAGATCAGCAACAACAGCAGCCACCGCCAACAACAGCACCACCTCCACCACAAGCACCCCGACGACGACCACGGCAGCAACAAGAACCAGAAAGAGTAAAGCATTGTAGGATATTGTAGGGCTTCTGATGCTGCGCTAACTCTTAAAGCCGGCTGCAGGGCAGTGAAGTGACCTTTCGAGTGGGCTGTACGGGTTCAGAAGATTAAAGCTGCTTCTCGGGGCTTGAACATGTTGTACATCTGGTTGTAATGTTAAACAGTTCTGCATGAAGTCGTTCGAACTGCTTCTGCACCGATCTAGGATGTTAGGAGCAGTTGGTACCAGCGAGCATTTGCCTTGGAAGGTTTCGTAACAACAGCACTGTTTTCTGCGCCTGCTGGTAGAGACCAAGTCTGCGGCCTCGTCGGTGTCATCTTACATGCAGCTAGTGCGCGAAGCACGCGTTCCTCAAAGGATACCTATGGATCGTATGCATCGTCCCAAGTATCCACCATCCGCAGATGCTTGTTTTAACGGTATGAAGGGGGGATTGGCATAAGTGGAAGGGATTCGGCCTCAAGAAGAAGCCCAGAGCCGCACTGAAGAATGAAAAAGAGCCCACAGAGCCATGGAGCAGCTTTGCTCAGCCGCCGCCTAAAGCTCCGGAACTGCAGCGTACCCGATAAGCCGGACCGACCGGTCGCACATGAAGAACAGTCTGCAAAAATCCGCACATCGGGTCAATCAATGCCTTAGAATCCACATAGGTTTAGGCACTAAAGTAATGAGCAACAGCAGTCGCAGCCGTGGAGAACCCGAGAGGACAAGCTGCGACGGCACCAGCAATCCGAGCAGACAACTCGGATTTCTTGGAGAGACAAGCACTGCCTGCAGCGTCTGTAAACTCCGTGGGGAAGAACTTCCCGCGGTCCAAGCAGCTGCTCAAAGACACTCAGGGTGAAGCGATGGAGCGAAACAAAGCACCAAGACAACCGCTCAACGCCGCATTTGCGTCTGTGCTGCATCATTCGTTGTCTGGTTGGCTCCTTGTAGGCGGTTTGTTATGTCCGGCGCTGTCTTGCATCCGATGTATCTGTCTTAACTAACTCTGCATATGTTCCTGGTTTTTGTAGGACTTAGCACTGTGTTGCTCCACAGGTTCAACGCCGATGGCCAAATCCTCGCTGCAGCTTCGCGTCTCAAACCCGGAGCGCAGGGAACTCAGCACTGGCTTTTCCATGCACTCAAGCTTAGACCAACATGACGAACAGGCTGAAGCTGGTGCACACTGGCACCATGACAGTGTTTCAGAACTGGCCGACGCCAAGAACCCCGCTGCACCGAGTTGCAGCCTTAGGAGATTCCGTCGGAAGCCCTGGTCCAGCCAAAGCGTCAAGTCGTCCTTAAGTCGGCCAGAGTGAAGACATATAATGCCATACAACAGTTAAGTTAGTAGTGCACTTCAGAACTGTGATTCTCACGATAAGGGATGACTGACCAGCAGCAATCTCTTGGCTTCGGCCAAGGGCATTGCACGCATCACTACAGCGCACATAGCATCAATGCGTCCGTGTATTGTTCTAACCCAAGCGTAGCCCGGCTTGTTGGAGTTCTGAAATTTGCTGCCTAGGTGTCTGCGTTGGATTTTTCGTCCGACGGTGGTATGCTGGCCGTTGGCAATGAAGCTGGTCGGGCTAACCCGGCACGCTGCATCATGCTGCGTGTGCAAGAAGGATTGCCATCAGATGTGTTGACGATCTGTTCTGCACGTATTTTACATATGAGCGGTCTTGTCAGGCTGTTGAGCTGCCAAGAATCCAATCTTGACAGGCAGTGTCCTATCAGGCAATATTCGTCTGGCTTTATCATGTGCTGATTCCTACCTACCGGCGAGCGCATCACAGTCTAATGGAGCTGCGCCGCAGCTGGAAAAGCAACAGCCTGGGCATCTTAGGACAAAAGGAAGCGTGTGCCGCACAGCACTTCATGCAGCACAACAGCATGCTTCGCATCGGTAGGAGATACTGGCTTGGCAACTGTCGACACTTTGCAAAACGATTTGAACCCTTGCGAATCACTCTGGTTGTTTGAGCCCTGTTCTCATCCAAGTCTGCAAATGCGATGCCAGGTGCTGCTCTTCAGGCTACGGAGCTACATGCAGCCGAAATAGCTCGTGTTTGCTGTGAAAACCAAGGCTCACTTGCGCGTCTAGCCATGCACCTGGCAAAGGTGGGTAGGTAGATGGGCAAACAGCCAGAGGTCTGTCTTACGCTAGCAGCAGATTTATTGCTAAGCTGTTCCTGCTGCCGCTGCTAGTGACTGCTTGACTTGTGGTGCCAGCACTAGTGCCAGAACCACTGCTAGAGCGTCCAGACCTATAGCTTTTATCGAGCGACTCGTCCGTACCGCTCATCTGATGCTAATCATTCATAAGCTTACGTTCGGGGGCAGCCTGGTGGTAAGTCTAAAAGGAACGCAGCCACAGGATTGATTTCCATCACGGGGAGATTTCATGTCCAGTCCAGATTGCGTAAAGTACAGACACAGTAAGGGCGATTGACAGAAAGCCCTCCTGAACTATGTGGGTCTAGCAGGCAATGATGCAGTCGATGCAAGAACAGGCTTTTCAAACACCTCCAGTAGACTCCTGAAAGGCTGCCGCGCGCTAATACGCACACTTAGACGCACTAAGTGTTCAGTCAAACGCTTCCGCTATGATGGAAGCCGGCTGCCCGGCTGCTTCTTGGCTTCTTCAAGCACTGTCAGAATGTGCTGAAGCTCTTGTGAGTGGAGTTCTTCGGATTTGCCATGGGGTTAGTGGGGTTTAGGGTTCGACTGGGCGGAGGAGGTTTATGGCTGAAGGCCTGTTTTGCTTCTGTTTGGAGTGTCGGGTTGCTTTCGGCAGCTGAGTGTGTCTTCCCCCCTCCCCTCCAAAGAAACGCTCACCAGCCGAAGCTCTCTACACTGAAACCGACTCTACATTCTCCCGGCCACAGCTACACCCTAAGTAAGTCCTAACCCCTCCACCCTAAATCTCGAAAACCGTGGACCTCTTGCTACGGAACCTATTAATTACACCAGCATTCCTAAGTGCAGTAGCAGACTTTAAGCGTTCTAAGCCATATATGTCTATATATATATATATATATGTATATGTATATAAATATATACATATACATAATCCCTTCATCCGTTTAATAACCCCCCGACCCCCCCCCCCCCCAATTATAAGGATTGATTTGAGGCTTTTAATTTTTCATATTGGGGGGATTTCGATGGTTTCAAGCTGGATTTCCGAAATTCGAGAGTTTGGATTTTTACTGCCAGGCAAGGGTACGCGTCTAAGTAAAAGCATATGACAGGGCAAAAGAGCGCTAGCCTGGGTGTTCCGGTTTCGAGACAGCAATTACTCGCCCTTGCCTGGGAGTTCCGAAAACGCCACGCGCCACGTTTTAGGTGTGTTCGCTCGCCTAGCCTGGGAGCTCCTGATCGAGACAGTGGTGAAACATGCAGGATATTTCGGAACTCCCAGGCTAGGGCGAGTGAAAGCACCGGCTAGTGTCAGTAAAGGCACCAATCCGCATCGAGTGGCTTTCCCCAGGCAGAGCCAATCCGCACCCAATCCAAACAAATCACCCTAATATTTAAATTTCTGTTGTTTTTAATATCAGATTCTCCTTGCCGGCCGTTTCAATTCCAAATACGGCCCTAGCCTGGGAACTCCAAATCTAGACCGCTAAACCCTGAAATTCCCACATCCGGACTCCCCTCGGACCCTCGGACCTCCCTCGGACGCCGCATTCCTGCTCCAAACGTTCGCGTTCCAATTGCAAATGTGCGCCCTTGCCGGGTAATCCGGGATTCGCCCCAATCGCCTCATGCCGATCCTACCTGGGCCCTAAACTCATTTGGGAGCGTTTTGCTCAAAACTGCAAGTTTTTTCGGCCGGAAGGGGTGATCTCATTAAACGGATGAAGGAGTTTTAAACATATATATATATATATATATATACATATGTATATACATATATCTATGTGTATATATCTATGTATGTGTGTATATATATATATATACGGTAAGTACCGCATTTTGGTGGGCACACACCGACGCTCACAGGCCAATGTATTCCAAGTTTCTAAGCCAGGAAGGGTTGAATTTGGAGCACCCAAACCTCTAAACACCCTAAAGAAGCACGATAGCTACCAGCTCTCCCACTAAACCCCAAACCCTACGCCCCGAAGTCTTACTTAAACCACGACACCAAGCGACTGAAGATGGCTGCCCGTTTCAGGCTGCTTCCACGCTGGGGCCACGGCTTCTTGGCGGCTTGCGTTCCTGGCAAGGCACAGGACTTTACCTGCCTAGACCACTTGTAACTCCTTGTCTGGCTGCCTTATTCCTTTGCGGGGTTTCTCTACCCCCGAACACGGCCGAGGACGACTCAGTCCTCATCGGCCCGCCGGGGGCCCGTTCGCATGGGCCAGAATTCGCATCGGGATTTTAAACCGAAGCTCTTGAGCCTTCCGGTACAGGGTTTTCGTTCAGGTTCCGAGCTTCCGGTTTCGGCAGAAAAAGGGATCTGACTTTCAGGTAAGGGCTAGACTAGGAGTTTGAGTGCCTTACTGCTGCTTGGTTGCTATTTGCTGTTGTTGGTGCCGCTAGGGTTTAGGGCTTGTTCCTGTTTGTGTTAATCAATTGATAAGGCTTAAAGGCTCTTAGGGCTGTTTTTGGTGTTCAGGGTTTGGGGCAGAACAGGGCTCAGGGATGTTGGGTTAATGCGGCGCCTTTCATGGGTTGAAATGTTTGTCACAGGTTTAGGGTTGTCAAGAGTGGTCAAGGGCTTACATTCACGGATGCAGGGTCCTTCAGAGGTTTTACTTAGCCTGCAGAGTTTCAGGGCTCAGGTTTAATGTTTAGGGGCTTGAAGCTAGAGTTTGAGGGGAAGGGTTTCAGGATTCAGGGCTTGTTTAGAGCTAGGGTTCAGGGTTTAGAGCTTAAGGTTTAGGTTCTCGGGTTGAAGAGTTTATTTGGGGTTTCAAGGGTTTCGGATTTCGGGCTTAGGGTTTAAGTAAGGTTAAGGGTTTGCGGATCAAGGTTTAAGGTTTAGGGTCAAGGCTTGTAGAGTTTAAGCTGAGAAGGGTTTCAGGGTTCAGGGCTTGTTTAGAGCTAGGGTTCAGGGTTGAAGAGTCTATTTGGGGTTTCAAGGGTTTCGGATTTCGGGCTTAGGGTTTAAGTAAGGTTTAGGGTTTACGGATTAAGGTTTAAGGTTTAGGGTCAAGGCTTGTAGAGTTTAAGCTGAATTCGTGAAAAAGTTCGACAATGCCAAACACGCGACGATTCGGAGGGCCAAACGAAAGGCCACCATGAAGCCATGTAAAACATCAAAACTTAGAGAGCAGAAGTTGTCAAGATGCTGAGAAAAATCAAAAGTCAGTTTGTAACACAATCATTTGGATTGTTGAAATTGCAAAACGCAACAAATCATGCAAACCCGATGATGTGCAGGGTCAAAATGTTCCAAAACCACGACAAAACATACAAATCTCAACAATTGGAGGGCCGAAGCTGCAGCTGCCAAAATTTCGACATCGTTAAAACATGGTGGGAGCTTCAATAAGCCATGAATCTGGAAAGAAACCGCCAAAAAGTCCAAAGATTAGGATGGCTTTGGGCTCGAAAAGTACCAAGAGATCGTCTCCAGCGCTTGTGTGAGGTGCTCGATCTTGCGGCATTGGGTTCAGGATGGACCGATGCCAAGGGGGCTGCAGATAACCCGTCGCATGATGTGTTGCGGGATGCGAGACTGCACTTCAGGTGCGGGAGTTGTGCAGCAAGCAATACGAGCAAATGCACCGCGCAGTCGTTGAGGCCACAGACGAAGCCAGTCATTCTTCGTGGTTTGCGTGGACAGTTGAATTGATGGACACTTACATGTGTTGCTCTAAGCTTTGTGAGATATTGCCGGGCACCAAGGTCGGCATTCATTGAAGCTGTTTGAGGTACGGTCGGGGCCGTTCAGCTAGAAGCCTGCAGGTCTGGCCTCAATGGATCTGAACTACGGAGCCTGTATGATCAGGCACCCCGTGCACATTCAGTTAGTTTCATGGCGCACCTTCACCAAGGATGATTTTTACTAGGTCTGTAACAGTGTAAGTTTAATGCTACCAGGGGAACGGGGCGAACCATCCCCATCCACAAAATCCTTTGAGGCGGCAGGATCTGGCGACCATGGACCATTCGTCATTCGAGCAAAATTTGGTGCTGATCATTCCGAAACTCGTCCCAAACTCGCCGCTCCAGCTTCGACTTCCAATGCACAGTTGGTCCCCCCGGATAAGTCGTCGATCCGCATCCGATTATGTGATGGAGATGTTCGGTTGTTTCGAGAATTTCTCGAACATGCACAGATGACATGCCTCAGACCACTCGCTCTGGAGCAAAGTGGCGGATGTGTGCGGGTGTGCTCACACATGTTCAGATGTGCCTCAAAGCTACAGGCCCAAAAGACAGTAACAGGTTCCAATGGCCCTTATCTACGGGGTGTAAATCAAGAAGCTGGCACTCGCAGCAGGCAAAGCACTGCGCCCCTGCTCAACACCGGCCCCTCTGTAGTGGAGTGTATGTGCACACTGACAACGATGTCTTCTAGAGTCGCATAGTAGGTTCGTAGATATTGTCAGAGCAGAGGCAGTCATCTGGCGATGTCAGACTCTCCTGCTTTCGATCTGCGAGGTTTGATACGAGGCCTTTTGACGTGAGTTGTGTGCTGGTCTCGAAGACTGGTGTTAGACAGGAGAGTGCACCGAAGTTGCAAGACATTGATTGTAGAATCAATCGATCAGTGCAACGAGTTGCCTGGTCCCGGCAGGAGAAAGAGAGATCCGCAGGTTCGCAAGCAGTGGGAGACAGTTTGCCCATTGTGCCCATTGTGGAAACGGAGGAGGCATTTACCCGACATGCCATCATGCGGATGTCAAAGCACACATGGGCCCCGACAAGACTCTTTGGCACTTTGGACAGCAGATGCACAACAGCTAGGCCGTTGCTACGCATGCCGCATGCAGCACGTGCAGGTACGCTGCGCAGTGTCCGAAGACGCCTGAGAGGATTGGGAAGCAGAGATGCATCTCGCAAGCGGTACACTTCGTCTTTGCTGATGAGTGTTACAGACATTCACCCGTGATGCTCAGGATCCTGCACCAGGTTAGGGTGCAGACTTCCGAGGTTCCTTTGTTAGATCTGCCACCCGTGCAGATTTTCTCAACAGCAAGATTGCAGTCATTTTGGGCTCCACCGAAGAAGAGTCGAAAGTTCGAGCTGTTGCAAAATCGCACAGCTGGTTCATACAAATCGAAGCGGATTATCTGATTGAAGGAAGCAGTCTCACTGAATTGACAGAGGCACGGAGTCGTGCTCGGCATTCAATTGCTGGCCCCGATCTGTCAAAAGTCTCTCGAGCCGCGGGCGGCTTGCAAGCTCTCACGGTCCTGTCGGCATGTTCAGTTTGCGAATGTTATGGTGGTGTGTATTCTTGTGGTCGGTACAGCTGCGGAGCCCGAAATCTCTTGGGGTCCGGCATGCAATCGACAAGCGGCCATGATGCCGCCTACCTGTTTCTATCTCGTGGCTTGGCGGCACTCCTGTTTGGCCTTTGCATGTTGTGCCTCATTTAGCTTGCGTTGCCTGGTTCATGCAGAGTTGATGCCAGGGTTTGGCCGGACTTTGGTTAGCTGCAGGAGTCGGCTGGCGCCCCAAGCAGAGAAAAGACACCATGAAGGCAGCACCGTCGTAGCGTTGTGCTGAGGTGAGACGTCCCAGGCAGGGCACCGTTTCGGGATGTTACTCTCCTGATGTTGTGCTCATTGGACGGGTTTTCTGGCAGGAGTGCGACGATAATATTGAACTCTTGCAGCGCAAGCTGTCTCTGGAGTCGCGCAAGCCCCACGTGCTTTTCTTTATCGCGGACTGCATGGGCTGGGCAGGTCTCGGAGCCCATCGAACTGCAGGAAATGCAGCAGAGGCTCAGGGAAAAGCCGAGACGCAGACCTCTGTTTTGGACGGCCTCATCCGAGACGGGGTGCTTTTAGAGAGGCACTACACCACCTCATCGTCCGGGCCGTCCCGGTATTCTCTGATTAGTGGTCGTTTGCCACATAGTTTGCCACAACTATCAGAGAACAATCTTTCGAGGCCTGGACAACTGTGGAATCCAGAAGACAATGTCTCCGGATTCGTCGGAATGCCCAGAAATATGACAGGCATTGGCAGTAAGTTAAAGCAAGGGGGCTACGCCACCCATTACGTTGGGAAATGGGCTGCAGGCCACGCCTCTCCCGAGCATACGCCCTTTGGCAGGGGCTTTGACTCGTTTCTTGGATATTTGGGTGCTGGGAATGGCTACTGGTCGAAAGTAGAAGACCCCCTAGCCGCCGGTCCCGGTATATGTCGGAAGAAGTTTCAGGATTTTTCTCTGTATAATGCCACGTACCGCGGCGCCGTGGATGGGATGATTGCTGCAGAACTCGGCTGCAGAAGGAACGTGACAGGCAGTTCGTTCACAAAATTTGGCTGCGACGAAGAGGATCTCAATGATTGCTTGCCGGACAGCTGTCACGAAGAGTCCATGCTTCTTGAGTATGCTATCAGACTCATCAAGAGCCACGACTCTTCAAAGCCATTGTTCCTGACTTACTCGTCGCACCGTGTGCACCGCCCTTACGAATTCACTGCTTCGGACTCAAAGTTGGAAGCCAAAGTTCAGAAGTCTTTTGAGAAGGCTAAGATTGCTGGGAAGCTTCCGTGGACCACAGCCCGCAAGGATATGGCTGTCAGCCTGGCCTCTGTGGACTTTGTCATGGGAAGGCTTGTCGAGACCTTAAAAGACCGCGGCATGTTTGAAGATACGTTGGTTATCTTCATATCCGACAACGGTGGTGCAACAGAATTGGGAGCGGGTGCCAATAACTATCCGTTGAAATCCGGCAAGTTTACAGCGTGGGAAGGTGGAGTGCGCACCAACGCTTTCATCTCTGGAGGTTTCATCCCGGCCCCAAATCGTGGAAGCAGTTTCTACGGGGTCATCCACATTGCAGACTGGTACGCAACTTTGTGCAATTTGGCTGGCATCAGCCATGTCGATGATGTTTCGGCCAAGGCCAATGAGCAGCTTCGTCTCGAGGGTAGACCACTACTAGCTGAGGTAGAGGGCCGGCCGCAGTTGCAGAATATTTTTTCAGGAGTCAATGGTCGCCCCGACACACTGCATTTGAGCCCGACCACAGTACTTAAGTGGCCTTACAAACTACTCACTGGGAGGCAGCCCAACAGCTTCTGGCTTGGTCCGGTGTTCCCGAACTGCAGCAGCAGCAATATGCCGGCGGACACCTCGACCGAGGACTGCGGCAACGGTTGCCTCTTCAACGTCGAAGTCGACCCAGGCGAGCATCGGGACCTGTCTGCAAATGAAGACCACGTTGCTGTGCTGTCAAGCTTGCAAGAAGAGCTGAAGCTGATGAACTCCAAGACCTTCAGGGCAGACTTTGGCCAGGAACAGGTGCAAGCTTGTGTGCAGTCGTTCCAGCTGGGCGGCTTCATCGGGCCTTTCGTAGATGCAGATGACTTCTACACAACTCAGCAAGTCCCTGGAACAGAGGAGGTGGAGACGTATAGACAGGAGTCACCCGAAACAACAGCACATTAGTTTTGGGGTCCAGGGTAAGTCCTACTAGTAAGCCCTAACGCCCGAGCAGGAGCTGATGAACGAGTTCATAGAGCCACCTTTGAAGGAGAAGCCACCTGATGATCTTGGCTGCTTTTACTTGTGAGCTTTATGCCATAGAGATGGCTGCACCTACCTGTATGCACAATCTTACATACATGCAGTTTGACGTAGTGTGCCTCTTGATTGGCGGTGCTTGCTTCGCTGATCGAAAAGATGCTCAGTTGCAACCGGAGCAATTTCTTGCGGGCCGGGCGGCTTGCAAATCGTCACGGTCCTGTGCGAGGATCAGGCTGCTGCATGTCGAGTTTGTGAATGTTACGGTCGCTTGAATTCGTGTGATTTTTTTAGCTCCGGCCTGGATTCATTCAAGAAGGGTGTTGCTGAGTTGAGCGCCCAACCCTTCTTCACATGTTCCATTGGTCCGGCCAGATTGAAGACGCTAACATACACAACCAACATGAACTTGAGGCCTGTTTGAAGGAGGTCCTCGTGAAAAAACGACCTCATTGCCGGAGACGAGCCGTTTTCGTGCCTTGCCGGGCGAGGCCTCCGCTTTCCTCGCCCCTGCAAGGACTGTCGAGGGTGCCGCGAGGGTTAAGAAAATTGAAGTGGTCAGCTCCCGCAATGCCGCAAGGGTTCAATTAAATTGAAGTGGTCAGCCCCCGCGAGGGTTTAAGTAAAGTCAAGTGGTCAGCTCCCGCGAGGGCTTGTTGTAAATTGAAGTGGTCAGCTCCCGCGAGGGTTTTTCGCAAATTGAAGTGGTCAGCTCCCGCGAGGGCTTTAATTTAAGTTCATTGAAGTGGTCTGCTCCCACGAGGGCTTTAAGTAAATTGAAGTGGTCGGCTCCCGCGAGGGCTTTAAGTGAATTAAAGTGGTCAGCTACCGCGCGGGCTTTAAGTGAATTGAACCCTGGTTCTGCAAGGTTTGGGGTTTTGGGTTCTGCTAGGTGTGGGGATTTAGGATTCAGGGCTCTCGGGTAATAAAGCCCTACAAGCCCAAGCCTGAGTTTTCACCTTCACCAGGACCTTCGCCAGGCGATCGCCAAGGCAGAGGCCAGCAAGATCGGTGCGGATGAGTTCCAGCGTCCTGGCATGGCTTGACGGACTCCGCTTTTTGATGATTTTGGGTCTTGGGTGTTTAACTGTTTACGGTTTGGGATGTTGGGTCTAGGGAGTTTAGGGCTTCGGCTATAGGCTGCTCGGGCGGGGTTTCGGAGTCTTCAATGTCTTCGCATCCCTTTGCAGGCAAAGTGCCTGGGTTGCTCAAACAGAGGTTTTTATTATGGCTTTGACTGCTTACGGTTGTTTCGGGCCACTTCGGGTTCAGGGTAGTTCGTTATGGTTTTTGGTCCAGGGTTTCTGAGGTCTCCCAAAAAGTCTGGTAGCTTAGAGTTACGGACAGGAGTTTACGGCTGGGAGATGGGTTGGGCGCCTAGGGTTTACAAACCTAACGTTAAGGCCCTGAGCCTCAAATAAAGGAGATCCAGTCAGTAATCGGGGGCTTACATGAATTCTTTAGAGCTTGGGTTGGGGGGATGTTGAGTTCCACTTAGGAGGACTATTCGGAACATCCTGAGACCATGCAACCGACCTCGGAGGTTCAGAGTTGGCGGTCGTGAATGCTTTTCGGCGTTGAGCAGCTATAGGCTAGAGCGTAAGAAGAATGACGGTGGTTTGTGCAGTAATCTGGACTCGTTCGCCTTGTGTTCCCGTAGACGTCCGGAGCATTGTGCCGCTCCCACCTTTCAAAACGTTGTGTTCACAAATGTCCCGGGCGTCGAAGCAGCATAAAACAAAAGGGCTACCAGGGGTTCCCGAGGCTTGAAGTCAAAGGTATACCTGAACTGAGACTTGCGTAAGCAAGGGGTCGTATCCTAAACGCAGCAGGAAGGATCCTCATTCCAAGGACGCAAATGGAAGCGGAATCGTCACAAGGGCGAAAGCTGTGACGGCACAGGCCTGTGGCTGGTGTGCACTTGGATAAGACGGGCTTTTCACAGCCTGGGATAGCGGATAGATAGCGTACTGCCGAAATATGCCGTAAGAATGGGTTTTCCAGTTTGGTTTAGACTGTGAGGGTGGTTTTGGGAGGCATGCCAAACAAACATCTGCTCCAGGTCTCGCTTAGGGGTTCCCTCTTTGTTGGCGTCAGTCAGTTAGAGCTCTCTCCGGCAAATGATCCTGCACGTGCCATTGACCTCGAAGCTGGAGTATGTGTAGTTTCACAGATTGGAGAGCTATGCTAACGATTGGGCTTCGTACGAGTCTGGCCACACACTGCACTTGACAAGAACTGCAACCAACACACCACTTTGAAGCGGTTTCTTTCGCAATGTTCGTATTCTGGATTTTCAGACTTGCTGTGCAACACTTGTTGCACTTTCCATTAGTGGTAGGTTTCTCTTCATTCTCACCATCGCGGGATCCCAAATGCCACCTCGCAGACTCCGTGAACCTCCGGATCTACAGAATCCTACCACGACGACCCACAGCGCAGGAAGAGCTGGCAGCCATGGAGGAGTTGCACCTCGCTGAGTAAGTGCTGGCGTGCGGGACCGAGCACTAGTCTCACTTCGAGATTTGGTCCCGGTTCTGCATTTTACGGGATACGGGCGGTCAGGGTCACGTAAAAGTTTCGGACTGTTACGGAGTTTTTGTTTGCTGCTGATGTGGTGCATGGATGCTTGACTCTAATTAATGGCGGGATGAAGTGGTTGGAGACGTTGTTGATGGACTGTTTCTGCCTGTGTTGCCTGCTTGGTATGTCGGAGCGGGTCGGTGGGCTGGTGGGCTTCTGTGCGCTGGCACTTGTGGTGAAGAGGATTGTGGCGCCAGACACACTCGTCCTCTCATCATCCGGCACGAAAGGCAGCTCAGCTGGCCCCGTGTCGGTAATCACTCCGAATACTGGATTGTGGGAGATGGGTGGGGCTGGACCTCGCGGTTGGCTGTGCAGGAGGGCTCATCCAAAGACCCGGTGATGCTAGTG